CCCGCAGGCTAGGCTCCTGCAGCGATAGGCTGAGGCCGAGTGACCTAAATAAGTCCGGGTTGTCCGCGAAAATAGAAGGGTGGGCTCCAGAGGGTGGGGTTTCAACCATAGTACGAGATCCTAGCACGCAAGCCCCGCGGATTGGGCCAATGATGGTTTCCGTTTATGCCGTACGCGATTGAGCGTTCAGTGAGCGCTATATATGGTACCAGGAAAGCAGCGAGCAACTGAAATGCAGTAAACAAAGATGATTTCTGCTTCTCACTTTTCAGGAAAATGCGCATATCTTCATTCTCCACGTGTTGCCGCATAAAGCTGACTCCAGGTGTACTCAATATGACATTTCTTAGCAAGTGGAGGGCATTTATTTCGTACCTTCTATCTACTTTGCCGAACTCCGTACTTGGCACTGCACTGAGGTTGCTTACAACCCATAATGCAGACAGAAATACATGTCTATTTGAGAATAGCTACAGACGTGTTATTCTTTATGACTACTTTACACATGCCCCACCTTAAGGAGTAGACCGGGTAGGGATTTCTAGTCATCCATTCTCCTCCCTTCACCTCACGTCCTCTGCTCAAAAAGTTCTTCCTTTATCACTCATGCCTGATATTTTCAAGTGAGTACTAAGCCGTACAATTTCACAATTAAGTTATTTAGCTCAATTTAACCAATATCTATTAAACAACTATTTATTTGCCAAGCATCACACTAAAGATTTGGAGCTAGGAGATCATTTTTTGTTTTGTTTTTCTTCGTAAAGTTTTGCTGTGGGGCATGTGCTCACCAGAAACAGAGAGAAGGGAAGTGAGAAAGCACCCCCACACACACACACAGGAGTGGGGGGATGGCCACACTGCAGTCCCTTCTCTTCGATCTCTTTTTTTGGGCACACATGCACCCACGCCCAGCTTGTTCTTCAAGCTGCTGGGTAGTTGGCCATGTGCAATCCAGCCACCCTAACCACCATGCCACTGGCTGACCCCTAAAAGATAACTTTTAAAGTTTACTTATGTATTCCGAAGTGAGAGAGATACAACACAGTATCTTGACATGGCACTCCACACTCAGGCAGCCCCTATCATGGGCACACATGTGCTCAGCACCAGGTGTAGTCAAGGAGGTCTCTGGATGTGGACTGCTGACCTTCCCATGTGGGTCTGCCACACACATTTTACCATGGCACTGCCCTCCACCCCCAAAGACCTAGAGTTAAATAAGAGGATCCCTGCCCTTAAGGTGTTAACATTCTAGCAAGGGAGACAAATAAATGTGATGAATATAATGTGACAAATACAAAATAAGCAAATGTTCAAAGCAGCACATAGAACATGTATAATTAAAAGAATTAGGGGGACCAACAGTCAGCGTAATGGCTGTCACTGGACTCCCATGTAGTCGACCATGGTTCGAGTCCCGGACCCAGCGGCTTAAACTCACGCCAGGTGCGTGTGTGTGCGTGCCCAAGATCCTGAGAGGAGAATGGAGGAGAAGGGATTGCGGCGTGTCCATCCCCCCCTGGGGGTGATTTCTCACTTTCTATCCCTCTGTCTCTCTTTGTCTTTCTGGCGCGCACACGCGCCCAGTAGCAAAAACCTGTCAAAAAAAAAAAAAAAAAGAATTAGGGAAGACTTCCTGGAGGGAAGAAGCATATGAGTTTAACAGACATGAAAAGACTTAAAGGACATGGGGACCAGTAGTTAGCGTAATGGCTATGTCGCTGGACTCCTACGTAGGCGACCGCGGTTCGCGTCCCGGACCTGGTGGCTTAAAACTCACGCTGGGCGTGTGTGCGTGCGTGCCCAAGATCCCAAGAGGAGAATGGAGGAGAATGGAGGAGAAGGGATTGCGGCGTGACCATCCCCCCTGGGGGTGATTTCTCGCTTTCTGTCTCTATGTCTCTCTCTGTCTGGCGAGGGCCGTGCCCTATAGCGAAAACCTCTCAAAAAAAAAAAAAAGACATAAAGGACAAATAGGAGTGAAAATGGAAAAAAAAAAAAGGTAATATCTAGCAGAGGAAATAGTATATGTGAAGTCCTTGTAATATAAAACAGCTTGGTATTTTTAAGCAATTACCACCAATTCAAATGTGATGAAAGTGTTTAGAGAGGTAGACTAGCTGGGAATGAGCAGCGAAGGTGATCCTATTGAAAATTAAGCCAAAAATCTCCGACTTTATGTTAGGTGATAGAGAGCCACTGAAGGATCTTAAGCAGGAAAAACACATGATCAGGTTTATGTTTTAGAAGGATTTTTTTTGCAGGCAACATAGAAGATACATTTGAGTAGAATGTGATTAATTATGAAGGTATAGGAAGTTAGACTCAAAATTAGATGGTGGTGGGAATGGAGAAGGGGGAAGAGATAGGACAAAGACCGAGAAAGTCAAATAGATAGGACTTGTATCTGATTGCTACAGTAGTAATATAGTGTAGGGCTGAGACTAGCAGTTGGCATAACGGCTAATGTCACTGGACTCTTATGTAGTGGACTGTGGTTCAAGTCCTAGGCCCAGTGGTTTAAATTCATGCTGGGCACATGTGCGTGCATGCCCAAGATCATGAGAGGAGAATGGAGGAGAAGAGATTGCAGCGTGGAAATCCCCCCAGGGGGTGATTTCTGGCTTTCTGTTTCTCTGTCTCTCTCTTTCTGGAGAGTGCACACACTCTATAGCAAAAACCTCTAAAAGAAAAAAAATATATATATATGTATATGTGTGTGTGTGTGTGTGTATATAGTATAGGACTTAAGTGTGTGAATCATAGATTTTTTTAAAGAATTATTTTATTGAACTTTATTTGTTTGTTTATTTATTTTAATTTGAACAGAGAGGGACAGAGTGAGAGAGAAAGAAAGTGAGAAAGCAAGCCAACAGGTCCAGGACTCTAACCATGATCGGCCATGTGGGAGTCCAGTGCCCTTAACCACCATGCCACCTGCTGGCCCCAGCTGCCTGGGTTTAAATCACTGCTTCCTAGCTGTATAACCTTGAACAAATCATACAAACAGTTTCCTTCATCTGTAAAATGGAAATGAAAAAAAACTAAAAGATACCTCTGGGGCTGTCATGAGCATTTAATGAAATAAAACATGTGCAAATAGTAAGTGTTCAGCAACTGTTAGCATTATTACTATCTGGGGGGCAGAGGGAGGAAATTGAAAATGACTCCTAGGTTTCTGATTTAGGTAACTAGGTGGATCCTGGTAACAGCAATCAAAATTGAAATTACCAAAAGAAGAGTAAGTTCGGAGGCTGGCCCCATGGCCTACTGGCTAAGAGGGCCAGATCCCACATGCCAACTGTGAGGATGAGGAATTCAAATCCAGCACAATGGCTTGAAAGACATGCCAGGAACGTGTGTGTCTGTGTCCCAAATCCCGACGGACTGGAGAAAGGGAGAAGGAATTTTGATGTAATGATGCCCCATTGAGGGGTGGTTTCTATCTCTTCCTCTCTCTTTCTCTCTCCCTGTCGCTCTATCTCTCTGTCTCTCTCTCCGGTGAGCACACATGCACTCTGGCAATTTTAAAAAATGAAGAGTAAGTTTGAGAGGAAAGACAGAGTTTAATTTAGATAAATCTGGGGTGTCTGTACAAGCTCCAAGTGTAGATGTCCAAAAGGCAACTGGATATACTGACCTGGTGCTCCAGGGCATGGTCAGGGTTAGAGAGAGAAATTCGACAGTCATTAGCATACAGTGTAGAAAGGAAAACATGAATAGGCAGGGACAGAAGATTTAAAAGTTGGTGAGGGCATGCAGTTTCGGTGGGAGTGTGAAATTGTGCAGTCTTTCTGGAAAACAAACTGTCAGTATGTATTTTTAAAAACTTTTGACTTTGGGGCCAGCAGGTGGCATGGTGGTTGACAGCGCTGGACTCCCACATGGACAACCACAGTTCAAATCCTGGACCTGGCAGCTTTCTTTCTCACTTTCTCTCTCTCCAGTCAAATTAAAATAAATAAAGTTAAAAAAATCATTCTTTAAAAAGATACTTTGACTTCAAGAAATTTGTCTCTGGAGAGCCAAACTAGAGAACAGGAGTCATGGATGGCAGAGAGAATTGTTCATTTTTCATGCTTAAGCACTTTTGTATTTTTAAATGTTATTTACCAAAAACTTTGACTCAGAAATTTTACTTCTGGGATCAGCAGATGGCATGGTGGTTAAGGTGCTAGACACTCCCACATGGCCGACCATGGTTCGAGTCCTGGACCTGGTGGTTTGCTTTCTCACTTTCCCTCCCTCTTGCTCTGTCTCTGGTCAAATTAAAACAAATGAATGAATAAATAAAATTAAATAAATAAGTCTAAAAAAAGTTACTTCTAATAATTTATCCCAATAAAATAATAGGATAATCATATAAATATGTTAATGTAGGATTTTCATTTATTGTTCGGTTTGAGTCTTTTTGTTGTTCTTTTTTTTTTTTAATGGCCATGTGGAAGTCCAGCACCCTTAACCACCATGCTACCTGCTGGCCCCAACAATGATTTATTCTTTAAATCAAGATAAGGCCAGTCTGTGGCATGGTGGCTAAGGTGGTTGGATTCCACATGGCCAACTGCATAGTTCAAGTCCTAGATCCTGTGGCTTGAACTAGCACAAAGTTCAAGTGGGCTAGCCAAAGAGAGAAATAGACAAACAGAGAGAAAGAAAGCACATTCCAATGGGGCCAGGGTCACATCGCAATTTCTTCTCCATTTCTCCACCCTGTCAGAATTTGGAGCACACATGCACATGAGTCCAGAATGTTTTTCTTTTTCTTTTTCTTTTTTT